CCCCAGGCACCACTAGGGCTCAAACCAGGAACAAGGATGTGGCATCTGTCACCACACCCACACTGGCTAGGCCAGTGGGAGGATGCCTGGGGTCTGGACATCAGGTGACCGCAGTCCTTCCCCTGCCAGCACGGACAAGCCTCTGGAAGTCTAGTGAGGTCCTCCTAGACGTCGCAGGGGGGTGGGGGGAGCGGGGACATTTTGTGCGGCGGCGTGTGGACGCGCTTACACGGCGCCAGGGCGTCCAGCGCGGCGAGGCGGAGCTGTTTTCTTCCAGCCCCACGCTCTCGGCCTCTCTAGTGGCTTTGGAAACCCCTCACCGGTGGACCCGAGCCATTCCCCTCCAGGGCCATTTCTCCGGAGCCTCTTGGAGCAAGCCTGCTCAGCGCTCCACGCACAGCCAACCTGCGCGCCCGCCTCTGCCCCCGCGAAGCCCCCGCAGCTTCGCGCCAGGAGCGAACCGACCGCGGCGCCGGGAGAACAGTGCCCCCTGGTGCCGGGCCCGGAGCCCAGCGGGCAAGAGCGCGAATGGTGGCAGCTGGGCGACAGGGTACCAGGAAGTCCGTGGTACCCTCCTCTCTACTTACGTTGAAAAAGCAAAGATAAATACCCAAATCATGGGCTGGGGATGTGGCTCAAGCGGTAGCGCGCTCGCCTAGCATGCGTGCGGCCGGGGTTCGATCCTCAGCAGCACCACATACCAACAAAGATGTTGTGTCCCCGGAGAACTAAGAAAAAAATAAATAAATGTTAAAATTCTCTCTCTCTCTCTCTGTCCCCCTCTCTCTCTCACTCTCTCTTTAAAAAAAAAAAAAAAACCCAAATCATGGCTTCAAAGAAAGATGATTTTTAAGGAAGGTGGAAACACATCCATACGATGAGATGGAAGGGAATGGACTGCTCTTGACAGGCTGGCCGCATGCTGGACCTCACCATCACTACGCGGGGTGAAAGCCAGCCACATGGGTGCAGGAGGCAAGGTTCCCTTACCTGGATGTGTGCAAAGTGGACACCAGTCTCCAGTGGCCAAGCAGATCAGGGGTCGCCTGGGGTGGGGGACAGGGAAGGAAGGAAGCACTGAAGAGGAGTGCAGGGAAAATTTGGGGGGCCATGAGGTTGCTTAGCCCCTTGGTTGTGTGGGCAGTTTGGTGGATGTATATTGGAGCTCACGTCAAAACTTACCTACCAGCCTGTGTTCTTCAATCATCGCAGTTTGTGCTTGTCAATTACGCAATGTGATCATATATACCTACAAAGCTGTTACAAGTTAGCTGGGCACTGTGCCACTCTGTAGTCCCAGCAACTCCGAGACTGAGGCAGGAGGGTGGCAAATTTGAGGACAGCTGTAGCCACTTAGACTCTCTTTCAAAATAAGATTAAAAGGACTAGGGATGTAGCTCATTGGTAGAGAGCACTCCTGGGTTCAATTCCCATTACTACAAATAATAATAATTAAGATGAGAATTTTCAATAGAGGAAGCAGGTTATAATATGTTTTGGTAAATAAAATATGCAGGGGATTTCTTAAAAGGCAACTTCTAAAACTTTATTTTCACAAAACAAAACTCTACTTGTAAGACTCAAGAAGACCTTTGGAGATCATTATATTCAGTTCCTTCTCACATGTGCTGCTGCTTGTTGGGTTTGGTTTCTTCAAAGCCTCCCTAGGAGGGGTGACACGCATTTCCCTACCCATAAGGCAAGGCTCCCAAGCACACTGTGAGCTCAGCCCAGTTCCCACAGCCCAGCCCAGCCCAGCCCAGCCCAGCATCAGCCCCATCCAGGTGTGTGTCTGACCCAGAGGGCACCGGCAGCCAACCGGCTGATGGCAGGTGCCTGTGTCTGCTCTGGGCCTGGGGCTGTGTTGTCCCCTCCCCCTTGTTTCAGCAAGCTCTGAGTTCTGGGAGGGAGCAAATGCATTTCCCATCTGAGAAAGTCAAGTTCAAGGCTTAAACAAACTGGTTGAAAGGGCCACATACCAAATGGCAGACGGAGAGAAACTCTGGTGAAAATGGTACGGATGCAACCAGGCTGTCATCAGAAAAACCGCAAAAGAGAGAGTGTGACTTTCATGTGCAGCCAGCTCCAGGGCTGCAGTTCTCACATATGATGGATTCCACTGCTGTGGCTGCCTGGAGATCTGGGTGACTTCCCATTAGCAGTGTCCAGAACATCTTATGGCGCTGAGAAAAGGAGAGACCAGCCAGGGCCAGATGGTGATGCCTACGCAACTCCAAATCCTGGGCTCTTTCACCCAGTCAATTGCCTGACTGCAGAAACTATGTGTCAAAATCCTTACAAAATCCTGATGAGAGGAAAAGCAGCCATCCAGGTGACAGCAAAAGCTGGCTCCAGCTGACACTGACCAGGGGGAACAAGTTCCAAGTTGGAGGACTTCATAAACAATGACTCCAGCATGATTGGCTAAAATGGCTTCATTGTTTCTATGTTGCCTCTGAGAATAGAGCCAAGCCCAGTGGCTGGGTTTTGATGTAAGGAAGGGGCTTCACAGGGCTGGGAGATGGCTGCTTGCCTAGAAAGGAACCTCATTCATACCCTAAGTACTCACAGAGCCCTCGTACACACATTGGTAGTGGCATTGCCACAATAGGTACAACGTGGGTAGGAGCAACCCAAATGTCCGTCAATGGAAGGATGGACGAGCAAAGTGCAAGTTATGCATACGATGAAATCTAATTCAGCTTTAAGAAGGACATTCCAAGCTAGGTGCCATGGCCCACCTGTAATCCCAGAGGCTCAGGAGGCTGAGGTAGGAGGCTCTTGAGTTTAAAGCTAACCTTGGCAACTTAGTGAAGCCCTAAGCAACTCAGTGAGACTCTGTCTCTAAAGAGAGTATTAAAAAGGGCTGGGATGTGGCTAGTGGTTAAGTGTCCCTGGGTTCAATCCCCAGTATAAAAATAAATAAATAAACAAAGGAAATGCCATCATACACTTTAACATTTGACACAAACCTTGAGGTTCTTGTGCTCCATGAAATGAACCCTTCACTGAAGGACAAACCCTACACTCCCCGCGTGGGGAGGAAGTGGGAGTGGTCAGATTCACAGGAGACAAGGTAGCTAGCTGGTGGTTCCCCAGGGCTGGTATGGGGAGGGGGTAGGGTTTAATGGGTAGAGTTTCAGTTATGAAAAGAAAAGTTCCGTGGATTTGTGGTGGCAGTGGTTGCCCAACAACATGAATGTACTTAAGGACACTGAACTGTGCATTTAAAAGTGGTTGAGATAGTAAATTTTAGATTATGTATATTCGTCATAATAAAGTTTAGAAAGAACATTGAACTTTTCAATAGTCTAGTCTGAGTTGCCTCGAGAAGGGCTGGACTGGGCTGCTTTAGGAGGGGTGTGCATGGGGGCTGTACGTGGGGGCAGGTGCAATTGAGTGATTTGCTGGGACTTGTCTCTGGCCTTCACTACTGGCTCACACTCCCTGTTCCTCTTCCTTTAGGAATTCCCTGCTGGCTCAGGATCGATCCTCCCTTCCCTCTGTGCTCTCCCCGACAGGCACAAGTGTGTGAATGACTGTGGTGAATGTGGGCTGTCCCCCATGGGAATGCTCACCAGCCACCAGCAGCCATGGTCATCCATGGCCCCTGGGCCAGTGCTGTGCTATCCACTTCCACCAGGTGGGCAAGTGCAAATGTTTCCGGCCAGCCCCGCCAGGCCTACCTCAGCAGGACACACCGATGCGTGGCTTGCTATCCTGGACTGCCATTGCCACTTCCCAAGAGCCACAGCAGCACTGGCTTCCCAGGGAAGGATGTGTCACCCTGGACCCTCTCCCCAGCCTTGAAGACCAAGTACACAGGGTGTACTCAGTACACAGTGTGTCAGCAAGGCTGCCTCTGAGGCTAGTGTAGGTTAGGTAATGGTGAGTTAGGACAGTGCCACGCTCCCTGATCACTGAGTGATGCTATTGTAGTAAAGGTGTTCTCTGCACCCATTATCTGCCATCTCGCAGCACCTCCCCACTATGCAGAGGAAGACCAGGGAGCCTCACAATTCATCCAAAGGCACATCCTTATTAAATGGCAAAACTGGGGTTTGAATCCTACTCTCTGTTATACTATTTTCACTCTGCCAAGTGCTAATATAGATTTTAAACCAAAGATCTTAACTAGTTAACAACTAGTCATTCAACTTAGTTCAGGGAATGCTTAGTATTTATTGTGTACTTCTAAATCTATAAACTTGGGAGAATGGCTGTTTTTGCTGGAGAAGATTAACTAATGTTAATGGGTTAATAATAGAGAACAGCAGAGGACATAGCATTGGTCTGATGATAGTAATAGAAATAGTCACAGCTAGTATTTATTGAGAAATTCTTAACTACCAGGCACTGTTGCAATCACTTCATGATATTTCACAATAAATCTGTTTTATACATGAGAAAGTTAATGCTTGGAAAAGTTAAGAAAATTGCCAGCAATTTAGCTAGACTGTGTCTCAAAAAGTAAAAAAAGGGCGATGGCTGTGGCTGAGTGGTAGAGCTCTTGCCTAGCATGCATGAGGCATTGGGTTAGATCCCCAGCACCACATAAAAATAAATAAATGAAATAAAGGTGTTTAAAAAAAAACAGAGACAGCAATCAGCATTATAAATTAAACAAGCAAATAAATAAATAAAAAGGGCTGAGATATAGCTCAGTGAGAGAGTGCCCCTGGGCTCAATAATGAGGAGGAAAAGGAGGAGAACTGAGTCTGTTTCTTTTTCAAATCAAGTCTTTTGACAACCATCCTGCACCATCCTCTCCTGGTGCACAGGACGTCTTTGGTCTCAGATATCTTGCTGTGCTGGATGTTTAGGACATACTTACCTAGTGAGATTGCCCCTCCCTTGAGGGTACAGAGCCCATGTCCCCAAAGTGCTGATGTAGCCCTGGGTAGACTAGGAAGGCTGACCGAATTCCTGATGAATGATTGATCTGTGTGGTTCCCAGTGTCTGAGAATGGGAGAGAATTTGAGAACCTAAGCAGCCCTGAACTGGCCTCTCTTGGCCGCATGGGAGTAGGCGCCAGGATACCGGGGAGAAGAGCTTATCTTTTTCAACTGTTCAAAGAAAAACCAACCCCTGAGAAGCTCCCAAAGTCTGCAGAGCAAGCGGGTTCCTATGACTGGTGCTCAGCGCTGCGGTGTGGGATGGATCGCTGTTTTCAGAAAGGTGGCAGGAGACAGCTCAGCGTCTTCTCTGACAGCCCCTGGCTTAGGGCTGGGGGTCCTTCCTACCCTCCTTGCCTTCCAGGGTCCCCTCGCAGTTTGCAAACCAGCATGATGAGCAGAGTCCGAGAGGGCCCCTGGCCAGGCCAACAGGGAGGAAGGTGGCAGCTCCGAGGACTGAACCGAGCCGGCCAGGCCTGGAAGGAAGGGGAGAGGAAAGTGAAAGACCCAGGGTGACTGTCCTTGTGAGCCCCACAGGCCCTTCTTCACCGCTGACCACGGGGGGTGATCCTGTAACAAGAAGGCTTGACTTCAGGTGTGTGCTTGCCTCGGTGTTGAATTCTGATAGGAGAACCAACCACTGCGACTCCCTGTCTCTGTCTGATGGTTCTCTGTGTTGGGCCCATTGCTGTCCCTGTGGGTCCACTCTCTGCGACATGCAGACGAAGTGCCTCCTCTTTCACAAGGGCCCTTGGACCATCACAGTCAGCTGTTCCGGCCACTCAGTTGGGGTTGTGGAAACTTCTGACATGCACAGGGTGCTCTCCAGGGCTCCAGCACAGAGCCTGGTGTTCCCCTGTCCCATGTCCCTGTGTTCCTGGGTTAAGTCCCTCAGGCTCACGGAGCTCTGGTCTTCTATGAGTCCTTTTTAAAAATCTGATATAAATATTTGTTGCCCAGAAAGGGTAGCCAAAGATAAACTCTGAGTGTACGTCTGAAAATTGTGTTTAGTCTGCTCTAACACTAGATGAGGATTCAGAATTACAATTTTGAGTTCAAAATAACTTTCTTTTACATTTTTTGGAGCTATTCTAGTGTGGCCCCGTGTTGCTGCCATCTGAGTCTTGGTTTCTGATTGATTGATTGATTGGTTCTTGGTTTCTTATCTGTGACCTTCTCCTCTCTTCCTGCCTTTAAGGATTGTCTTTTTCTTTTCCAGTGTCTTAAGTTCAAGATGCTATAACAACAACAAAAAAATACTATCACAAAATTCCTTAGACTGGGTAATTTATAAATTTTAAATTTATTGTTCATAGTTCTTTTAAAAATAAATTCATATTTTAATTGATGAAATAGCATACATACTTTGCTGCAGGTAAAACTAAACAATTCTCAAAACCAGGAAATAATGTGACCCCTGGAGGTGAAGACAGGTGCCCTCCTGCTAGTGCAGTGGCCATCAACTTCTGGCGGTACGAGGGGTGCTCTCATGCTAGGCAGGGAGTCTGCCACGGCTCTGCCATTTGCTCTTTGTCACTCCCCTTTCGAAGCCTGGGCCTTCTCACCTGGGAAATGGGCAGATGGGTCTCTGCCGCCTGGAGTCTCTCCAGCTCTGATGTTTAATTGTTCTGGGTGGAATGTGGTGACCACTGCCTGTCATGAAGCCAGAGCATGCAGCAGCTGCACTGTTGTCAACCTTCTGACACCTATTTCTTTGTCTTTCTCAAGGTGTCCCCAGAACCTCAGGCTGAAGACCACCCAGAGGACAGCCCTACCTCTGAGTAAGTGTGGAGTGGGGGGTGGGTAGGGGCATGTCTGCTCCAGAAGCTTCTAATTCTGTTGGCTCCAGCCACCCCAGATCCCTCCTGTGCCCTGCTTTCTTCTTGGTCTCCAGTCTTTTCTTCTTTAAAGTTCCCCAGAGACCAGGCCTGTCTATCTACTCTCGGGTGACCCCCACCACCACCCCTCCAGCAGCGTGGAGAGCTGTGGCCCTCAGTGCAGCTCATTTTTTTAAATATATATTTTTTAGATGTTGATGAACCTCAATTTTATTTATTTATTTATATGTGGTGCTCAGAATCGAACCCAGTGCCTCACACATGCCAGGCAAGCGCTCTACCCTGAGCCGTGAGCCCAGCCCAGTGTAGCTGATTTGGGGATGTGTTAGAAAAATCAGATGAAGTAGAAAGTTAATGTGATAAAGTAAACAGAGCAACTTTGCTCTCATTTTACCCAATTGTTGAATCTGTATACTTAAAATTTTCCAAAACAAATTATCAAAGTAAAAAAGCTTTCAAAGTCCAGTTCAGATACTTCCTTCTCAAATCCCACCCCCTCCTCTTCACATGAGGGCATCTCCTCCTTCAGCAAGCCCCAGCCAGGCCCCATCTCTATTACCTGTGACCCCACCTTGTCCCCTCTGCCTTGTAGGCCTCAGGCAGGCAGGGAGATACAGATCTGTCCCTGACCCTCATGGCGCAGGTGAGGAGGGGCTTTGGAGATGTGGGTTGAAAGGAATGTTGAAGGTGAGTCTGGGTGTGTGGGCCTCCACCGGAGTCCTGGCCATCCTCTGTGATGTGGGCACTCTTTCCCAAGGGAGGGGGACCCACGGAAGCAACGGAGCTGGGGCAGTGTGCCGGAGAAGCTGCTGCTCCCCTGAGCTGTTCCTGCAGGGCTGGCCTGGCCGGGAGTCAGGGAGGAGGGTGTGGAGGGCTAGGAGTCTCCAGGCTCTGCCTGTACCTGCCAGTGCAGTGCGCTCTTTCTGCAGGTGCCTGCCTTCAAGGCAGGCCCTAGGCCAGTGGACAAAGGTGCTGGGGAGGGAGAGTGACTCTTCCCAGTATCCCTGATGAGTGCCCCAAGGCACGATGCACCATGGTCAGAAGCCTAGTAAATTTTAGAAAATTCTAGACCCAAGAGACCAGTATGAATGTCCCTGGCCTCGCCTCACTTCATGTAGCATCCACTTATGATAGGTTTGTTCTCCGGGGGCGGGGGGGGGGTGCTCTCTCCTTTGGGGAAGACTCCTTTCTCCCTGGAAAGGTCTTTTTCTTTTTTAAAAAGTGTGTGACTTTGGGCTGAGATGGTGGCTCAGTGGTTGAGCGCTCTCCTGGCCGAGTGAGGCTCTGGGTTCAGTCCTCAGCACCACATAAAAATAAAAAAATAAAATAAAGGTATTGTGTCCAACCAATTACAATTAAAAAATAAATATTCTTAAAAAATAAATGCACTGTGTCCATCGACAACTAAAATATCTTATTTAAAAATAGAGTATGACTTTAGGAGTCCCTGCTGAAGAAAAACGATTGAATAATAATTTAAATGAAGGCCCTTCTTGACTCCCTGGGGGGGGGATGACGTCCCAGGAATCGACTCAGGACCGGCTCTTCCTCTTAACAGCGTGCCCCACTCCCATGGTGGCAGGGGTTGGGGGAAGAGTGGACAACACTGCCCCCTCCGCTGGCCGAGCTCCCGCCGAGCTCCAGGCCAGTAGCCCGTGGCATGGTGGGTGTGGCTGGCACACCGGGAGCCCTGGCTCCTCAAAGGCCTGGCACAGCCCAACTCTGTTGCCGATCCCAGCCCGCGGCCATTCCGTCAGCTTCCTGTGTCACTTCCTGCCTCTCCTCCCCCTTCCTTCCTGGGGTCCCACTTATAAGAGTGTTGGGGTGCCCAGTGGGAAAGGACAGAGTGAGGGGAGTCTGCAACCAGGTCCCTGTGACTTTGGGCGCCTGTCCTCAGGCTTCGCCCTTCACACCTCTGAGTGTAGAGGGCTGGGCTACATGGGCCCAGAAGGGCTTCAAGTCCCGCTGGGACGCCCTAGGCCCAGAGTGGTGCCCCAGGATTCCTGAAGGACAGTCCCCAGCTTGCCCTGGACGGTGTCTGGGCATCTCAGGCATATTCCTCAGTAGAGAGGACCTCAGGAGGGGGTGGGACAGGAAGTGCAATGACCGCATCTGTCCTCTGTACCAGGCTTTGCTGGGACCTTGCGAGGCAGGGAACCCTGCAGGCAGCTACTCCTGTTCAGTACATCCCAAGCGCCCGCCTACCTCTGTGCCAGACACAACAGGTGCCATCTTGTCCACCCCAAGGGTCAGTCGAGAAGGGAAGAGGAACCACTAGTCTAAGTCTGTCAGAGCAGCTGGGATCTGCCTTCCCACTGTGTCTCCAAGGCAGAAGGAACATTTACTGAGATCCACATTTTAACAACAGCAGCACGTGCTGTTTGCAGAGTGTTTGCACATGGTAGGTGCTTAATAAATGCAGTGCCATAGCCAGCTGTGCACTTAGCGTGTGCCGTGTCCGTATGAGGGGTGAGAGGGGTCCGTATGTAGGTGGAGCCCGCTGTCAGAGCTCACCCTGCCTGTGAAGTCCGGGGACTGCACCGGGTGGTAACCAAGTGACTGCCCCAGGTCTGGTTCTTGTCCTGAGTTCTGAGAGAACCAGATGGGGCCCTGGAGGCTGCTCCCCGAGTAAGTGTTGGCCAAAAGCATCAGGTGGGCCTGACAGAGCTCACAAGTGGGGAATCTGAGGCCAGGAATGGGGAAGTGCCTTAGGTGCCTGACTGGCAAGTGGCAGAGCCTTCTCTAGCTGAAGTGACAGGAGGTGGGAGTGGTCACCATCCCACAACTAGCTGCAGGCACCTCTGGCCTCTCACCCTGACCCTGTGGGCAGCTGCAGACCTGGGCCCCACCCCCTCAAAGGCAGCAGCTCCTGGTAGCAGCTCCCAGCCCAGCCACGGGTCCTACCAGGGCACCATGGGTGGGCACAAGGCCATCTGCACAAGGCGACACAGCTGTGGGAAGCACTGAAGACACAGCTAGTGCCACTCAGATGTCCAAAGTCTGGGAAGCCTGGGAGCCAGGGCCGGGTGGAGGGCAGGCTCCAGGCCAGAGGGCCCTTCTCTGAGCTCAGGCTGCAGGAAGGGGAGCCCTGTTCAGGTCCCATCTCAGTCACTCTGCCTGATTGCTCAACGAGTGGCAGGACCCTGGACAGCCACCCTGACCTGGTAGCAGTCCCCTTGACATGCCAAGGGTACAGGCACAGGAAGTGAGTTGGCAAATGGACATGGAGCTTCTAGACTCCCTGATGGAGGGCTGACCATGGGTGAGACCCCGTCACTCTGTCCACACATTATGATTTTTAAGCCTCAGAATAAATTTATGAACAAGCTCTGTTTTCAAGAAGGAAAAAAAAAAGAGGGTGCTCAGGGTGCGAACGACGGGCCCAAGGTGGCCACGCTGAGATGGGCTCCTTCTGTCCCCCACTCTCTCTGCAACTCTGCAGGCACTGGCTTCCTGCTCAGCCTGAGGTCTCAGTGGGTGTCAAGGGAATGATGAAGACAGAGAAGCAGGCAAGGCTGACCACATCAGGGTGTCGGGGAAGAAGGATCCAGAGGTCCCTGGGCAGGGGTTTTCAGCTTGGGTTTCAGGGTACACCTTGGGGCCAATGTGGTCACTGATAGAGACACACTTTGAAGGTAACATCTTGTCTGTGTCTGGTCTTCTGCTTGCAGAGCCCCAAGCAGCAGCCACAAGAGGCCTGAGAGGCAATCAACCATTTCCTATGACTACGCGGAGGAGGAGCTGATGGCCAGCATAGAGCGGGAGTATTGCCGCTGAGGCCAGCCGTGCAGGGGTGTGACCATGGCTCCATAGACCCTGGGCTGTGTGAGAATCACTCCCCACCAGGGCTCAGCCGAACTCCTGCAAAACCTAGCTCTTCCTTGACTTTTCCAAACTGACTTTTCAACTTCACTTGTTGGCCAGGGCATCAGCTGTGCAGGTACCCAGCCACAGGTGGAGACCTGTCTGTAGGGTTCTCTTGGAGCTTGAGGATTCCTCTTGGAACATCACCAAGGTGTGCCCTCAGTCCTCCGGCTAGTCTCCAGAGGAGGCTCGTCCACTCAGTGCATCTGGATTTTCATGAGCAATGAACCCCATGGGATGTGGCTGAAGTACAGATCTGTTTCTGTAGGCCTAGTGGGGCCTGAGATTCTGCACCTCTAACTGGCTCCCAGAAGAGCCAAAGTGCAGCACCCCAGCTGCATTTGAGTCTGGGGTTAGGGCCTGGACTTCAGGCCTTTCTCAGCCTCCGTGGTGCTGGAGGCGTCTCCACCCCAGCTCTTTCACTAGGCTGGGATGGCAGAGCTCCTCACTTTCCTTCTCTGGGCCCCAGCTTCCCTCTCCAAGAGATAGTCTGGAGGCTCTTTGACAGTCTGAGATTACACAGTTCCCACTGCCACTGAGGCCTCACCCTGCTGGTGCACAGAACTGCCTTCTGTGTTGGGAGTGGGTGTCCAGCCACCTGGACAGGGTCTCAGGGTACCTGCCGTCTAGCTCCACTCTGGCAGGTAGCCTGGCCAACCCCCACAGGGCCTTACACCCTTCCTCCCTGTGCAGAAGATAGACAATCCCAGCCACGAGGCCAGAAGAGCCTTCCAATGTTCCCAGTTGACAAATGAGAAACCTGCCGGCCCAGAACCTCCTGCAGTAAGAAATGGTGGCAGTGTCAAGGGGCTGGATGGAACAACAGCAGCTTTTGCTGAAGCCATAAGAGATCTCGGCTCTTCTCACATTGACCCACCAACACCAAGGCCTCCCTGGGTAGCCTCCATGTCCTGAGAAGTGCTGCCAGCACTGGGGCCAGTGAGTCTCACTGACAAGCCTTTCTGTGAACTTTCACAGTTGACAAGAGTGCCTTTGATCAGCTGCTTGCAGCTGGGAGACTTGCACTGCGAAGTCAGAGCACAGAACAGCAGAGCCGGTCACCAGCCTCTGGGGGGTTGCCTTAGAACCTCCCCAAAGCTGGGAGCTGTTCCTCTCCTAGGCCCAAAACATTCCTCTTGATATAAAGATGAAAGTCATTACTATTTTAATAATGTGAATGCTTATTTTAAAAGAAATTAAACTTTTATTTCTTACTGCCAGGTACATCTGGTTTTGAACTTGATGTAAATGTTTACAACTTTACATCATCGTTTTGTTAGAATATGACACATTCAACTGGTTTCCAAGAAAAAGATGATACCTCTGCATTTTCTTGTGGAGAACTCATAGAAATCCTCAATGAGATCCAAGTGTTAAGACAAAAAAGTATTCCCGGAGTAGTTATAGTCTATGTCAATGTCAGAGTGAATGTGCTTCCTCAAAGCTAAGAAGCCATCACAATTGTTCTCAGGCCTTTTAAAGAAAATTCCCTGAGTTCAGGAAAGGCGTCTCCCGCATGGTAGCTTGCCAAATAAAGCAGTGCATGTCAGTTGGAGAGGTCTCTTCTCCATGCTGTGAGGAGCAGGTCCTGGTCCTCTGAGCAGCAGGGATGGATGTCACTGCAGCCAGGGCCCGGGAGTGCTTCCTGCGCTGGCTGTGCGCCAGGTGCCTCACAGCCTCTTTGTGGTGGTCCACAGTGCTTTCCAGTCCAAGCACCCAGCTCTAAGTGAGTGTGGGACCTACCATCAATAGGTGAGGACGTGGCTAAAACAGGCAGAAGGAAAAACGCCTCAAAGCTGGCGATGACCTGTTACTATCTGGAACAGTAGCAGTCACTACAAACGGGCCTCCCAGCTTCCGTAGTGGAGAGCTCCCCAGACTTGAGAAGACCTGCTCCCTGCAGCTCAAGACGCGGCCTGTGGGTTTTCTTGAAGGAGGGGCAGAGCTTCCTCTCATCACATGCCCCCCAGGCTTCTGCTCTCGGTCCCCATGGAGCCCCAGGCAGGGACCTCCTCTACAGCTGCAGTTGGCCCAAGCTGCCTGCTCCCCCCAAGACAAGCTTTTTGCTGTTGCAGTGTAACCCCCATACCCACCCCACTGTGCTTGAGATCAGATCCAGGGCCCCACAAGCTCCACACTCGGCAGGCACTCTACCACTGAGCCACGAGCCAGCCCTCAGAGGGGCTTTCACCGTCTCTCCCCCCGTGTCCCAGTTCCATGGCCACTTCTTTCCCCATGGCAGGAGCTCACTGGTCAGTAGGTGGGCACTCTGGAAGGCTGTCAGAGAAAGCGGTCACACAGCCACCGTGAGGTGTTGGGGCTTTGTGGTGTGCCTCCTCCTTGTTCTGGCAATAGCTGGGCAGGAGGAAGGTGCTCTCATATGCCATGGAGAGAAGTCACGTGGTAGGCTCTGAGGGTTAGCCGAGTCCTCCAGCAAGGAGGCTCCATAATCTGACCTTCTGTGGGTGACAATCTGAACCTCAGGGACAAATCAGACCTGAAGAGGGGGACAAGGGGCCCTGTTTTCATGTGTGAAGAAACCTTTCCATTTTCAGAGTTGGCAAGGTAGACCTGCTTAATCTCTGGGTGTGGAAATCTGGGGAAGAAAGGTGGCACAAAAGACCCATGGCATGACATGGTCCCACAAAAGACTGGAGGGCTGGGCCCTCAACTGCCTGCAGAAGCTCAGGCAGGAGTGTGTGCTTGTCTGTGTAAGGACACGTCCGTCCTTCCCTGGCCTGTACCCCCATCAGGGGCATGGGCCCATGGCCTGCACTTGGCAGTGACACTGTGGGGCCACAAGAGACAGTGACTTGGACCTCACAGCTCTGTCCCTGGGAGTAGAGGCTGGAAAGCCCCAGCGTGGGCTAAGTCCTGATTTCTGGAGAGAGAGACTGTGGAGGGGGGGACTGAGCTCCCTGCCCATCCAGCGGAAGAGCATTTAGGCGGACACCTTATTAGCACCTGTTGGTGAAGCACAGTTTACAGAAACAGCTTGCTTTTGTAGAATTCATACAACACTCAGAGGGTTCACTCCCTGCCAGTCTCTGTGCCAGCAGGACCCAGGAGGTATAAAACAGGCATGAGGAACGGGCAAGTGCCCCAGGAGCACAGAGGAAAGTGGCAAGCCATAGGCCTGAAAGGAGCTGCCTGGCCCAGGGTAGCACCTCCTCCCAGACAACCCTTCTCCAGCGACAAGGCTGCACTCCTGCTTTTTTGACAGTCCAGGCCATGGAGGCCCTGTGGGGACTTTGCCCTGGAGAGAGACTGAAACCCAAATGGGGGCTTTAGGCAAAGAAAAGAGAATCAACGTTTCTGAATGGTTTGTGGCCACTGAGCACAGGTAGAAGGGCACCTGGGCAGAAGCAGGGCAGCCTGACAGTAATCCAGGAGAAAGCTGCCGACTTGGGCCAGGTGACAAGTCATCAGATGCCAGATGTTTTGAAAGATGAGTCAAGAACTGTGATGGGTTGGATATGGGGTGAGAGCAGAGTGACTCCAAGGTCTTGCACCTGAACTGCAAGGACTCACGTGCAGGTCAAGGACAATGGGGCCAACTGTGAGAAAAACAAGGGTGGGGAAGAGAGGTGGGGCTTGGCCATGTCGGGTTTGAGATGCAGACTGGGCAGGTGTCCCGGGACAGGTGCAGCACTACCTAGTTCAGGCAAGAGGTGCAAGGAGAGATCGATCCTCGGGGTCTTCACAGTTGGGGGTTTCACGGCTGTGAAGCCTGGGAAAGGTGACCCAGGGAGCCCAGCAGTTTCGAAGAATGAGAATTAGGACTCCCCAGAATCAAGAGGCCAGATGACAAGGGCCAGCAATAGACCAGACAGACAGGAACAGCAGACATCTGCAGTCCTTGGGGCCACTGTCACCTCTGCACCATGATGCAGACAGCAAGATCCCAGCCCACAGAGCCTCTGGTGACACCCACAGGAGCTCTTAATTACGTACCTTTGTGTGCAGAATCAAAGCAGAGGAGACTGAGCCCTCGTGTTGTCGTTAACCCTGGGCAAGGGCTGGAGTGAGGCAGCAAAAATGTTTCCACACACCTCTTCCAAGTCCCCCCTCGGGCAGACACCCACCGCTGGCAGGGGAAGAGCACAGGCCCCGAGGGCCCAAGGGTCATCCAGCAGGCTGGGTCCTATCCTGCCAGGACCAGACATGTGTGTCCCAGTGGCCAACAGAGAAGCAACCTCCTCATACATTCTTTTCAGAGAGAACTCCCAAAGGAATGCAAAGAAACAGACTAAACCGAGAAAAAGGAGAGTTCAGGTCGGGCCAGTTCTGCCCACTCATCCTGGAAGACACTGGGTGTTACACTAAGGCACTGGGCACAGTTAATGACACAGGACACAAGTCCAGTTTGCAAATCAAGAAAGTTTTATATGATTCAAAGAAAAAAGTTACATTACACATTCTCATTTAAATAAGAATTCAAAGTCTGTTACATAAAACATAATTATGAAACAAATTTTACTGAAACTACTGAAAAGGCTCAATGTCAAAAATCAAGCAAATCTGCTCAGGCAATAAAGTGCACAGGGGGAACCTGCCTTGCCGGCGTGGCCTCGGGCACCCGAGCACCCGCACTGTCAGCACAGGGACGCCTCACTCACCCGCTGCAGCCTACAAGGGCTTGGTTCTCAGGAGGATTTTTCAGATGGGAACTTTTTCCCAACTTTTCAGAAAGTATTTCTAAATCTAATCAGGAAGTGGAAGTTTTAAATTAATACCATTTCAATACATCTACAATACTGTTCAGAGAATGAAATGTCACAAGCAACCAAATATTCAAAGACCTTCCACTACCCCAGATCATTGGACAAACATCACTGGTATAACATAATTAAGACAACTGTCCAAACCTGATGCCTTTTACGATACACACATAGTCAAAAGTGTTTATGGTGACTTAGGAGGATGGGAGGACTGGGGTGGTGGGGAAAACACAAACTATGTACAACCATCGCTCTCCTGCGACCATATCATGCCTCATGACAACAAGAACATACCATACCTGTGGAATTGTCCAAAATGTGGAAATCTCCTAAAGACACACACATACATACGGTAATGAAAAACAGTTGATACTAAATAACAACTTAATGGGTATCAAGTAACATACAATGAAGGATCAAGAGAGGGTTATATTAGACTAAAAAGACCTGAACACGAACCCTAATTTTACTTATCCCACATGTCATCTTACCATCATTTTAATAAAGGTTAAGTGCCAATAACTAAAAGGCAAAAACAAATCCGCACAAAAAATATTCCCAGGCTACCAATATAGTGCAACATTCTGTGTTTTTTCATTTCTTCTGTTGCCTGAACTTCCAACATTTATCCAAAACCAATCCCGCCAGGCAGCCAATCTCCTGTGTTATCTGTGCTTGCCTGAACTTCCAACATTTATCCAAAACCAATCCCGCCAGGCAGCCAATCTCCTGTGTTATCTGTGCTCACATGGCTAAAAAGCAGTGCTGTGCCCACGGTTTACTTGCAAGGTAGACTGTCTGATCAAAACAATATCTTTCAAACAAAATGAATGAAAGGTCAGTCAGGTGGGATTACATTGCCAGTCATGCGTAACACCCACTTCCTAGTTTTTCATCCTTAACAAAGGAACTTGAACCTTGGCACCAACTGTATACACTTGCACCTCACTTTAGATGAACTGTACTTGGAAGATCCATGCAACCTTTTTTCTATGTAGTCATTCTACTCACAATGCAGTATGGATAAGGCCACATCAGAAGAGGTCAACTGACAATGAATAAAGCAGCCAGGTTTGAGGGCTAGCATTCTTTTGGGGGCCTCAGGTACAAACAAGAATGGTTCAGCAGAGCAATGGCCCAGATAGCAACAGCACACAGATGCTCAGATCATGCAGCAGCTCCAACACCAGGAGCTGGCAGTGCCCTGAGTAAAGCCCCAGTGCAACCTTTACAGGTCATGCAACACACACAAACGACTAGCTCTAGCCAACCAGAATTTAGTTACATGGGCTACAGGATTGGTTGCCTGGAATTTCTCTTAAAAACCTTATGAAGCTGACTGTAAAATTTTCCTTTCCTTCTTTTTAATAAGAGGCCCTTATTCAACCTGTTATTTTTTTTTAAATCTTAAATTGAGAAGACCTGATAATTTATGATTTTTTTTTTCTGAATGATGTACGAAGCTTACTAAAAGCAAAAGCAGAGTCATTATAAAACTTCGCT